ACGCTCCTTATGGTCAATGGCACATACACAAACAATGCTTCTCTTGCAGATAGCCACCAGATGGCCCAGACGGACCTACATCATGTGCACGCTAGAGAGGGCACGGCACGTCCTACTGCTGATTGGAATTCTGGTCGTATGTTTAGATATCAGCCATTTCTGGACATATGGTGTCCCCAAGCCTGGACTAGACTGCATGTAATCCACATTGTCTGTTGTTGTGTGTGTGTGTGTGTATGTATGTATACGCGTGTGTGTGTGCTTGTGTGTGTGTGTGGTTGAGAAGTGTTCGTATCAGTGTGATTGTGTCTGTCTGTGTAAGAGAGAGAGAGAGAGAGAGAGAGAGAGATAAAGAAAGACAGGGTGGGGGGGGGTGTGTTGGGAGAGATGGTCCACCAACCAGTTATTCAAACATAGAGTTGTTTTACCAACCAGTTATTCCACCCAAAAAAGTAGGCACTACAAAGTCGAGTCCACCGTAGATCTCACACACCAACATGTTCGTCCGCCATAGAGTTTGTCCACAACCCAGTTAATCCACTATGGAGTTAGTCCATCATCGAGTTGGTTTACCTATCAATTAGTCCAGCATAGAATTGGCCCACTAATCTGTTAATCCAGCATAAAGTTATTGGCCCACTAACAACTTGGTCCACCATAGAACTGGCCCACTAACCAACACTGTTCACCTTTGGGCATTTATCTTTAAAAAAAAAAAAAACTGAACAAGCAAACGCATTACCACGTTGACTGTTGTTACTTTTACCAGGTACACAGAAGAGTTCTCTGACTTATTTAAAAATCAGATCTGGCCGGCAATGGACAACACCTTCGGGACAGTTCTTCCCTTGGCAGCTGTGTCCACTTGTTTTGGCATTACAGCAAGGACCCTCCTTCGCCGGTCTCCAACCCTGATCGTGGAAGAGGAATCTGAAATGAAGAAATACTTCCTGGAACTGGCGGCGCTCAAAGACTTCAAGATGATCTGCTTTATTCTCTGCCTAATATTTATCTTTCTAGGCTTGTGCAAGATCAGTTACATACTGTTGACCCTTTTGGACTCACTGGCTTACATCGAGATCGACTGTGTGACCCGTGAACTTTTCGACACGCTAAACATGACATTCACCTTTCTCTTTTACGGCGCTAAGATTTATATTTACATCGCTTTCAGCTCAATGTTCCGGGAAAAGTTAAAGTTTGGATTTTTCAAGACGATTAGAAAATTGGAGTTCTTCTGCAAAAAAATTTGTAGATGTAGTCGTAAATGGACTCTTGTGCCTCCTAAAGACAAAAGCCAGGAAACTGGAAGTTTCTCGGGTCAGAAGCGGCATTCGAGCTACATTGGTAGTACTTCTACAACTGGAGATATAACTTTATATCAGAGCAGTGGAACAGAAACCACACCGCAAATATTTGAACATGCTACAGCCAGCTGTTTAGACTCGTGTGAAAACGTTGACAACAGCAGTGTCAATTATAGAAACTGGAATCAAAGTGTTCCTGAGAATTCGCGAGATCAGAGAACTTGGGAGGATGTACAGATTGCTGGATCTGGCACGAATGTCTGATTGTAGTTTGTGTCGGTTGTGAACTAATACAAATGTCTGAATGTGGTTTGTGTTGGTTGTGATCCAGTACTAATGTCTGATTGTGGTTTGTGTTGGTTGTGATCCAGTACTAATGTCTGATTGTGGTTTGTGTTAGTTGTGACCTAATAAAAATGTCTGATTGTGGTTTATGTCCGTTATGATCTAGGACTAATGTCTAATTGTGGTTTATTTTGGTTGTGATCTAAAACAAATGTCTGATTGTGGTTTGTGTTGGTTGTGATCTAATTCAAATGTCTGATTGTTGTTTGTTTTGGTGCGATCTAAAACCAATGTCTGATTGTGGTTTGTGTCGGTTGTGATCTAATTCAAATGTCTAATTGTGGTTTATTTTGGTTGTGATCTAAAACCAATGTCTGATTGTGGTTTGTGTTGGTTGTGGTTTAATACAAATGTCTGATTGTTGTTTGTTTTGGATGTGATCTAATTCAAATGTATGACTGTGGTTTGAGTTGGTTGTGATCCATCACAAATGTCTGATTGTGGTTTGTTTTAGTGTAATCTAATACAAATGTCTGACTGTTGTTTATTTTGGACGTGATCTATACAAGTGTCTGATTGTGGTTTGTTTTGGTTGTGATCTAATACAAATGTCTGATTGTGGTTTGTTTTGGTGTGATCTAAAACAAATGTCTGATTGTGGTTTGTGCCGGTTGTGATCTAAAAAAAATTTCTCATTGTGGTTTGGTTTGTTGTCATCTAATACAAATGTCTAATTGTTGTCTGTTTTGGATGTGATCTAATTTAAATGTCTGATTGTGGTTTGTGTTGGTTGCCATCTAGCACAAGTGTCTGATTGTGGGTTTTGTGTGTGTGTGTGTGTGATCTAATACAAATGTCTGATTGTGATTTGTTTTGGTGTGATCTAATTCAAATGTCTGAGTGGGGTTTGTGTTGGTTGTGATCTAGCACAAATGTATGATTGGGGTTTGTGCTGGTTGTGATCTAATACAAATGTCTGATTGGGGTTTGTGTTGGTTGTGATCTAGCACAAATGTCTGATTGTGGTTTGTTTTGGTGTGATCTAATACAAATGTCTGATTGTGGTTTGTGTTGGTTGTGATCTAATACAAATGTCTGATTGTGGTTTGTGTTGGTTGTGATCTAGCACAAATGTATGATTGGGGTTTGTGCTGGTTGTGATCTAGCACAAATGTCTAATTGTGGTTTATTCTGGTTGTGATCTAAAACAAATGTCTGATTGTGGTTTGTGTTGGTTGTGATCTAATACAAATGTCTGATTGTGGTTTGTGTTAGTTGTGATCTAATACAAATGTCTATTTGTGGTTTGTGTTAGTTGTGACCTAATAAAAATGTCTATTTGTGGTTTGTGTTTGCTGTGATCTAATACAAATGTCTGATTGTGGTTTGTTTTGGTTGTGATCTAATACAAATGTCTGATTGTGCTTTGTGTTGGAATGATCTGGCACTAATGTATAACGTTATTTGTGTTGGTTGTAATCCAGCACTACGGTATATGGTGATTTGTGTAGGTTGACAAGCCCCGGAAGGCGGGAACACTTTGTTTATTGCAGTTGTCGATCAAGAGAGACTATGATTAAGAGCGACAGGGAAGGATCGGTTAGGCGGGTAGCAGGGGATAGGGGTGAATGGAAAAGAATATGTCCCCTCTGGGTTGTCCAGAAATACCAAAATCTCCTTCTGGCCAGATACACATTTCACCCTCCAAAAAAGCTATAATAAGGGAACACCTGTAGGAGCTCACCAGCCAAGTGTAATCTGTCGTTATAAGTGGGTCAAGACCTAAGCCGTAGAAGATATAGAGGGGAGAGAAAGGGAGAGAGAGGGAGAGGGAGAGAGAAGGGGAGAGAATGAGAAAGAGGGAGAGAGAGAGAGAGAGGGAGAGAGAGAGAGAGAGAAAGCGAGAGAGAGGGAGAGGGCGAACTAGTCTCAGACAAGGAAACAATATATTTCGACTGAAGTATTCATCAATAATTAAAGCAAGTAGATGAATTGCAAGCCACAGCCTCAACCTTTTGTGTCACTTGGATTCAGTACAAAAAGGAAAGGCAAACCCAGTTACTGACATTAAATATGTTTGTGATGACACGATAAGAGGTGAATGGAGACTGGCAGAAAATATGTAGGATGGTTTGCCACCATTCAGTGGAGGGAAATCTATACGGCAAATACTGAAGACTGTACACAGACGGGCTGAGCAATGATACACGGCAAATACTGAAGACTGTATACAGACGTGCTGAGCAATGATACACGGCAAATACTGAAGATTGCGTACAGAGGTTCTGAGCAATGATACACGGCAAATACTGAAGATTGTAGACAGATTTGCTGAGCAATGACACACGGCAAATACTGAAGATTGTAGACAGATTTGCTGAGCAATGACACACGGCAAATACTGAAGACTGTATACAGACGTACAGAGCAATGATACACGGAAAATACTGAAGACTGTATACAGACGGGCTGAGCAATGATACACGGCAAATACTGAAGACTGTATACAGACGTGCTGAGCCACACGGCAAATACTGAAGACTGTATACAGACGTACTGAGCAATGATACACGGCAAATACTGAAGACTGTATACAGACGTGCTGGGCAATGATACACGGCAAATACTGAAGACTATACAGACGTGCTGAGCAATGATACACGGCAAATACTGAAGACTGTACACAGACGTGCTGAGCAATGACACACGGCAAATACTGAAGACTGTATACAGACGTGCTGAGCAATGATACACGGCAAATATTTAAGATTGTAGACAGATTTGCTGAGCAATGATACACGGCAAATACTGTAGACTGTATACAGACGTGCTGAGCAATGATACACGGCAAATACTGAAGATTGTAGACAGATTTGCTGAGCAATGATACACGGCAAATACTGAAGACTGTACACAGACGTCCTGAGCAATGATACACGGCAAATACTGAAGACTGTATACAGACGTGCTGAGCAATGATACACGGCAAATACTGAAGATTGCGTACAGAGGTTCTGAGCAATGATACACGGCAAATACTGAAGATTGTAGACAGATTTGCTGAGCAATGACACACGGCAAATACTGAAGATTGTAGACAGATTTGCTGAGCAATGACACACGGCAAATACTGAAGACTGTATACAGACGTACAGAGCAATGATACACGGAAAATACTGAAGACTGTATACAGACGGGCTGAGCAATGATACACGGCAAATACTGAAGACTGTAAACAGACGTGCTGAGCCACACGGCAAATACTGAAGACTGTATACAGACGTGCTGAGCAATGATACACGGCAAATACTGAAGACTGTATACAGACGTGCTGGGCAATGATACACGGCAAATACTGAAGACTATACAGACGTGCTGAGCAATGATACACGGCAAATACTGAAGACTGTACACAGACGTGCTGAGCAATGACACACGGCAAATACTGAAGACTGTACACAGACGTCCTGAGCCATGACACACGGCAAAGACTTAACATAGATTAGGAAAGAAAGGCAGATTAAAAAATCACAAAAAAAAAAAAAAAAAAAAAATGTGTTATTAAAGGAATTTAACAAAGAATATATTTGTAATGCAAATATTTCGCGTGTTTGTGGTGTTTCCATTACTCACACCTTCACTTAGATTTCCAAGTAAATTGGGGAGTTTGTTGGGTTTGCTATAATTTCCGATCCAATTTTATCTTGTCTGATGTGTCTCACACAGCAATATCTATGTCGTTGTCTTCTTCGATGTGAGTCTCTTTTTTATCATCTGTATTTGCTAGTTAACAATCATATCATCAGATGGAAAATGTGTGACAGAAATGAAGAGCAGAATAGGTCAAGCAAAAACTGCATTTCAGAAAATGGAAAATATCTTATGCAATAAATCGCTCTCATTTAATGTCAGAAAGAGGGTGCTAAAATCTTACATAGAACCCGTTCTGCTGCAAGGCAACGAATCTTGGAATGTCATTAAACAAATTATGAAGAATTCGGAAGCAACAGAGATGTGTTTTCTGAGACGAATGTTACGAATACATTGGACGGCCAGAGTAAACTAACAACGATTGCTTGAAAGAGGCTAATGAAAGTAGATCTCTATATAATACAATAAAAAAGAGACACACACTGTTCTTTGGCCACGTAATGAGAAGAGAGACATTGCAGAACATCATAACAACTGCAAAGATCTGTGGAAAACGGGGTAGTGACAGACCAAGAGAGATTATGCTGGATGTGCTGAAACGATGGCATGGACGGATATCATCAAGAGAGCTGTTTTAGGCAACCGGGGATCGTGATCTGCGGAGACGCATGAGCGCCTACGCTAGTAGGCAGGGCAAATGATAACGATTATTTTTATTATCTCAGAAATGCCCGCCTTTTGTGCATGTGTGTATGCATGACGTCACCGTATCCTAGCTACCTGTCAACAAGGACACCCAAACCGAAGGCAGGACACTGGCATTAAATCTGTAATGGGAAAACACCTGGAGCAGCATCAGTTGCGAGAGAAGAGTATGGATACTAGAGATGCTTCACTTCTGGAATACAGTTGATACATGATGACTGGACGGCTGTTCAGCCTGACTTCCTAACGTCGGCCAGAGTGTTCTCTTAACTTTCTATATGTTATCAAAGCAAACTATAGAAAGCTGGCAGTTCTCTGTTGTTATTTCCCACATCTCGGGGTCCTCGAGATTTGGTAGGGAAATCCCCAGAACGTCGCATAGTAAAGGTTAGGCTTAGTAGTAGTCGCTAGTTATTTAACACTAGCCCTAACCCTAACACCCCCCCCCCCCATACTGTGGGACGTTCTGGAGATTCCCCTACGAAATCTCCAGGGCCCTGAGATTTAGTGTAATAACAGAAAAGAACCAAGCTGGCTATATAAATCCTCATTTAGATTGTATTTTGTCTCCTGAAAGTCAACACACGGGATATTCCATTGGGGGTCTTTTTGGTTTGGTCATA